CTTATTGTTAGACACTGCGCACGTGTATTTTGTATGAAAGAAATATATTCCTTTAATTAAATCATAATCTACACACTTTTTCAGTTTCACAGGATAATTTATTTCTGTACGTACGCGACTAAAGCTTGGAATACAATTGATACCAATTTTCTTTCTAGTCTAGCAATTTATTGGCGGTAAAGATGCGCTGCTAATCAACGCAGCTGTGGAAGAAATCATGGTTCAGGGGTTCAAGAGTAAACATCGATGACGCTATCTCCTCAGAGTGAGAAGAAGGAAGGAAAAATGCTTCGATCACGACGCTAATGGTTTATTTTGACCATCTGGGCGTGGTGACCGGAGTGGGCGTGGTCTCGCCGCTCTCGCCGAACCCGGAGCATTGCCCCAAAGGGCAATCTGCCCGGAACATTTGTTTATCGAGCATAAATGCTCGACAGGAAGTCATCGTCGGCGATCGAACGGCGACCCCGTCGTCTTTGAAATCCGAGAAATGTAATAACGCGATCCGCGGCCCCGGTGCCGGCGCCAATGGCCGAGACGCAGCACGATGAATGCACCGGAGAAGAAAAGAAGGGCAGTCGAGCGGGCCCGGGCCCGGGTCCGACAATATGCCGAACGGAGCGAAAGCTCGAAGCGGGCCGACAACGCCGGCCCCCGAGGGCTGATTGGACCGTATTTGGTTGTAATTAAGGCACCGGCGGCGGCCATTAGCGACCGCGAAAACGAACAACATTGTTCCGCGGGCGAAAGGCGAGCCGCGCCACGCCGCGCCACGACGTTCCACGCGTATATCAAATTGCGCAAAGATCCTGTCTTACCCTTTCCCGGTCCGGTTCGTAATTTCGTTTGCGTTGCCGATCGGCTATGCCAGTCCTTTTATTCTCGGTGGCCGGTTTTTTGCCGGTCTATCGGCGCCGAAAACGAGACCGAAAACGAGCCCGGACAAAGGAAAACGCGAGGGTCGACGGAACCGTTTACCAGCCGATTGTACGGAGTTAACCCGATCTTCCAGTCCCTTTTCAGCCGCGAAGTTCTGGTCCAGGAGGCGGAGCAATTACGCTCTAAACGTCTAAACGCTGGTGGGGGTTGTTCGACCGCCAATCGGACGGCAAACGTTTCTTCGGCTTAGACAGCTCGTCACCTCCTCGCGCTGCGACAGAAGCTGGACCCATTAGACTCGGCAACGGTGGGAGCTCCTAGTTTAGCACCAATCGAATTCCAACTGGTTCGCATATAGCCGAGTATGCGCGACGACAATGCCTCGCGACCGTTGTAATTGGCAGCGAGGGCATCCGACCGCGGCGGGGAGGGGGCCGCCGCGCCGATACAGGATGAAGAGATTTACAATGTTCCTGGCCGTAAAATAATCAATAAAATCTGCGCAATGTAAAGAAACGGACGTGCGGCGGTGATTTAGTATGCGGAGCGGCCGGCTCCGCTATTCTCTCGTCCGCCTCCCTCCCGCCACCGCTATCCTTAAGGCCCGACTACGGGGCCCGCTTGGTCAGCTCCGCTCCGCTCAGCACCGCTCAGCTCCGCTCAGCTCCGCGAGATCGTTGATCCGGTTCGAACCCCGACAACAAAACAGCGAACGATCCCGGGCCCGCGGATCGACTACCTGCGCAATTTGTAGCAGCCTTTTGAAATGTGGCCCCGACCCATTGTCTTCGCGACGCGGTCCCGAACAGGATGCACTGAATTATGGCGCGGAGATATCGAAACTCCCGGAGAGAGCAGAAACTTGGTCGAACGGGCAGGCGTCGGTGCCGCGATCGCGACGATGGAACGCGAGGCGTGGCGGGCTCTTAGGCGTCTTGTTTCGAGGTTTACGAGGCGCTAAGCATGCCGTGATTGATGACGGGGGCAACCGACGAGGTTACGTCAGCGAAACGATCGAAACGGGCGAAAAAAAAGAAGAGAAAGAATCGGCGCGCCCGTTCGGAAAACGACGCAGCGTCCGCGCTGCTTGCTCAAATTCGAAGCCGCAGAGCAGGGTGAACGCGTTGGAGTAATCGGTGTTCAACCCTTTGTTCGGCTGCTCTTCGAGATTAGGAACGGGAACTAGTGTTCCAGCTCGATTGAACATTGGAACGATCGATTTAAAGTGCTCGGTTACCGTTAATTGTAGCGTCGGAATGGATGAGAGGCTGTACGACGGCGAATCTTCGTGCAAATTCTCGCTTTCGTCTTGACCGGGAGATTCTCCCACGTCACGACGAATCCAAGATGCTATTATTTCTGCAGATAATTACGAAAGTTCGGTCGGTAAACGAAGAATGTTCCCAGAGAAATCGTTAACGCTAGAACAACCAGACCCGTCAAAATGGCGGGAGCCCGGATAGTTTATTTCACAGTTACCGAGATTGTAAAGATGATTTTATGGGCAGTTATTGGATACAACCATTAAGCAGTTAGTCGTTGCATTCTCGCTGGAAAGCGTGCGAGTTGCTGGAATTATTAGAGCACGGATTTTTATGCTATATAAAAACTGTTTGCTTCGATCGCAGGAAATAGAAGCTGAATTGGACGTTCTTCCTTTCTGGAGTAATGCTAATAGATTAACAATAATTTATTGACATTTCGAGAATCGTCTAATGTTTCGACTCTGTTTCAAATTACAACAACTCCATTTCACCGTAAATACATAAGAACCACGGTCTAATGATTTTATCTGCGTTTCGTTTAAATGCGCCACTTTTGTAACATGTACAATTTACTAAAGAATATCGAAGTATACAGTAAATTCTCCATAATTTTCCTTCGGCTTGTAAACAACAATGGGCAATTTTGAAAGAGGATTATTCGAGCCTCGCGGCTCATTTTTATAGTTGCCGGTTGTCGACAATTATACAAACGAGATGCATGGCTCGAATAATATCATCTACGCTTCCCAGATTGTCCATTTTCGTTTACAAGTTGAAGGAAAATTCGGGAGAATTTACTGTACATTCTTCTTGAACAAACAGACGTTTTCGACGAGTATACTCGAAGACTGACTGGCCAACTAAAAAGCTAACCGGTTAATTCAAGCTTATTTCGCACCAAACCCCGTGCCATGTTTCGACAAATGCGATTTTATTGTCTAGAAAGGGCGAACATTGAAACCCTTTGTACTCGAGTGGCGACTCCGAAAGCCGCATCAGATCGCCGAATAAGCATTAGGCGCATTAGGCGCCATTTAAAAACTGTTACGTCGCGTTTCAAAATAACTTTATTAATCAAAGTTGTTTATATTCAAAGAACTGTCGAAAGCGTAACCGTTGCACGAGTCATAAAATTCGATTTCATGTGTTCAAAATGCGCTGGGTTATATAAAATGGAAATACCATTGGTCAGATGAACTATTATAAATTTTACGATAATTTGGCTTCGAGTGCAAAGGGTTAAGACCAGTCATTTTTAGCGCTCTACGGTTCTAGGCGTCGGTGTCGCGGTTAGCCAACAACTTCAGCCGAGGGTGAAGCAGGAATATCGCGTTGGCACCGACACAGGGTAATCAAGTCGTATGGGCGGACCGATCGTCAATGTGAGTAGAGCTTTAGGTTTCTGGTGGGAAATATAGCAAATCGCCGCAGGGTATTGTAGCAGGAGCCGACTATGGTGACGAATTTACGAGCTCCTTACGAGGCTGCCTTCTCCGAGCGTAGCGAGCAATAAAGTACGGGGCCAGGGGATATTCGAAACAATCGGGCCGAGAGGCCAGGACCTATCTCCACGCGAAATCCCCGGATCAAATTTAAAATTGATTTATGGGTGATCGCGCGCCGACCTTCGGCTTCTCCACCCTCGCTCTTCGTTCCCGGCGATCCTATTCCTCGGACTTCCTGTTGTATCGAGACATCGGAAGATTAACACCCCGAGTGTCGTGTCGCACGCACTTCGGTGGCGGAATTATATTCTTACAAGGTTTATGCCTTTCGCAATACGCGAGCCTCGATGTCGATCTTCGAGGTACACACGACAGCGGATTCTTCTTCTCGAATAATCTGCGCGGGAACTTCTGTATCAGATCGAGCCATAAATAACTATCGTTTCCTTCATCAGACATTTATTTTGTTTTCTCGTATTTATTTTCTTATTTTCTTATCTCATTTATTTCGAACCTTTATCTATTCGGTGAACGTAAAAACCCGTTCGTCCCGGTACCTCGTACAGTAATGTCTCTCTAATTGACGCTCAGATTGTCCATAAAAATGGACAATTTGTGAAGAGGAGATGCGATTATTCGAGCCTTGCGGTTTATTTTTAAAGTTATAAATTGTCCACAATTATAAAAACGAGCCGCAATGCTCGTTATAATCGTATTCTCCTGTTCCCAAATTGTCCATTTTTGTGCAAAATCTGAGCATCAGTTAGGCAGACATTACTGTAGTTGGTAAATACGAACAACAGATTCTACCTAGCTGCATCGGAAGTTATTTATGACTCGATCGAATAATTTGCAGCTGATGGACTCCTTAATTTTCCTACGGATTCATCGCTTGTCTTCACTTTCCAAAGGTTCAGGGATTGAATTGTTCCAATACGAGGGATCGACGCAGCGGACAGGATGCCTTTAAATAAGTCTTATATCGTTTATATCTTCGAACCTTTGAACGCTCTCGTTCAATAATGCCGGCTTCAGCGACGCTCATTTTGAACGGCAACAGAAACAAAAGTATTTGCGAGAAAGGCGGGCGGAATTTGCGCAACGAGGAGTCGCGAAAAGATCGCAGCGAACAGGATGCCTTTAAATAAGTCTTATATCGTTTTTATCCTCGAACCTTTGAACGCTCTCGTTCAAGAACGTCGGCATCAGCGACACTGATTTTAAACGGCGACAGAAACAAAAGTGTTTCCGAAAAAGGCGGGCGGAGTTTGCGCAACGAGGAGTCGCGAAAAGGATCGGAGAAACGTACAGTAATGTCTCCCTAACTGACGCTCTGCACAAAATGGACAATTTGGGAAGAGGAGATTATGTTGATAATTCGTAACTATAAAAACGAGTCGCAAGGCTCGAACAATCGTATCTCCTTTTCCCAAATTGTCCACTTTTCTGGACAATCTGAGCGTCAATTAGAGAGACATTACTATAATTCCTGCCGGCCGAGCATCCCGCCGACAGTAATTAAGCAACATGGCGTCCCGGCCGCTTCGTTTCGCGCGCCTTCCGCGGCGCTACCTGCCGCGTCGCGTTCCCTTCGAACGCAACGAGACCGTTTCCTCCCAGGATGTGGAGATGCGATGCATCGAGATCGAAGTTCTCCATCGGAGAACTTAATTCCGCTACCAGCCTTCGTTTCGTCTTACTGTTCTCCGTGGTACGCGGGGTTCATGAAGGTCGACGTGGCTTGTCTGTACAACGGGTTGTCCTCCTAGAATCTGCGTGTTAATTGAAACAACTCGACGAAGAAGAGATTTAGTAAATAGATACATTACCCTGTTCCACTTGGCCAGAGCTCTCTCCCGCTCGAATTTCGCGAACTCTCGTTTATCGTATATGGTCGTTACCACCCTCCAGATCAGCAGGATCAGGAGGCCGAGGAACACCGTGCCGGCCACCAATCCGACAGCAACGCCTGCGGAAAACGGTCACAAGGTTGATCGGAGCTATCAGATTAAAGGTTGAACTGCTTATGTTAACCCTTTGCACTCGAGTGGCGATTCTGAGGCACCACTGAAATTGTTACACTACGTTCCAAGAGAATTTTTATAATATCAAAGCTTAGGTATGTTATGACGTATTAATGGGTGGCAATGATGTTGAACAGCTCGGGAAAAGAAGAGGAAATTTTTTACCGATTAAGGCACTGTAATTGTGAGACCATATTTTTTTGGAGAAAAGTGATTGAGAAGGTGGAAATTCGCGACGATTGCACAGACGAGTGTCAAACTCGTTTCGAAGGCTTCGATAACAGAGGAAATAGAACGCAATTGTCATTTTTGAGTTATCACCAGTTCGGTGAAATAATTAACCCTTTGCACTGGAGTGGCGATTCTGAGGCACCACTAAAATTGTTACACTACGTTCCAAGATCATTTTTATAAAATCAAAGCTTAGGTATAAAGAATTGTTAAAAGTCTAACTGTTGTATGAGTCACAAGACCCAATTTCGTATGCATAAAATGCACTTTGTCGCTAAAATGGAAATACCGTAAGTCAAAAGAGTTAATTTAAATTTACAGTTAATATGGCTTTGAGTGCAAAGGGTTAATATTATTCCTTTGTGTTAAAATTGTTTCACTCGAAGAAATAATCTTCCTTCTTTTCTTAAGACAAGAAGGGATGTTGATCTGTTTCTCTTTATTTCTCTTGGTATCAATCACTTTCGTGATTGAAATTGCGCAAATTCTTGTAAAGACAATTAAGGATTCCGAATTACTTCTGTCTTTCTAATACTTAAACTACCGAACCAGTCGAAATGACTGGTTTCTGGTCTTCTCGTTTACAATTCCTGATGTTATAAAAATATTTCTAGGAGAAATTTTTAGATACACACACTTCTTTATTGAAGTATACGCTATAATATAAATTATACATAGTTTCAATGAATCCAGTCTTGGCATTGTTGTAAAATAATATACTTTAGTCGCGTTTAGGGTAGTTCCAGTGTTAAAAACGATTGATTGTGCACAGCTATTTCTCCTTCTTTAACACTAGGTTTACGGAGCACGAAAAACAGCTGCTTTATATTAGTTTATAAAAGTAACGATAAGACGATTATTCTGATTTTTAACAAACGTTATTGTAACATTTGCCGTAAGTGACATATAAATTGAATAAATAAATATGAATAACTCATAAATGTATCTTTACGATATGAATGATCGTAAATTAAGAAATTAATGACCCGTCATTTTTTACGGGTCCCGTAAATCTCGAGTTAAAGGCTTCTAGGAACAGAGGAAATGAAAAGCTGACTAAAGCAACACTGACTAAAGCCTAGCCCCCTAGAAGAAGCCCCCTAAATCTTCAAAGCAATTCAAGACCCTTTAATTAATTAGCAGAGACATCTCTTGGAGAACAATTCCCTGTTCCAATTGTTCGAAAATAATCTTCGAATATATAATCGTTATAATCTCTCACCAAAAATGTCAAGTGGCTCGGGACACTGCCTCTCCCTCTGGGCGACGATATTGAATACTTTAATGTCGCCTCCGGAACCCTGTCTATGCTGATGATACTTGAAGATGAAGGTGCATCCCGCGTCACCTGGAGTACGGCAGACTGTAGACACGGTTTGCAAATCTTGGACGGAGTCCTCCTCGACGACGTCCGCCTGTGCGCCATTTTAAACGTTCAAGAAACTCGCGGCAACCTTACACGACGTTTCACAAATAATTTTTAAAGTCTCTTACGATGTCGATCTCGTGGGGACAAGTTTCGCATAGTCCATTCTCCGCGTAAGGACCGCTGTTGTACGCTGTGCACTCCACGCAGTTCTTCAGCTCCTCGCACAGCTGTCCTGGACACGTCTGGAATCGCGTCCACGATCAACCGATAAGTATCACGGAAAACCGATAGTACCACTGTCTAATCTATTTGTGATCTGTTCGTAATGCACGATGATGATCTGATCCATTAGGAAGGTCGCTCGAAGCTCGTGCACAAATTCGCAATCCAGTGGGGGCAAAAACGAATACAGTAATGTCTCTCTAATTGACGCCGAAATTGTGCACGAAAATGGACAATTTGGGAAGAGGAGACACGATTATTCGAGCCTTAGATCTCGTTTTGTATAGTTGTTGATAATTCGTAACTGTAAAACGAGGCGAAAGAATCAATTTAATCGTATCTCCTCTTCCCAAATTGTCCATTTTTGTGCGCAATCTAAGCGTCAATAAGGGAGACATTACTGTAGATCAAATACAAAACAGGAAACTATAAAGAACTTTAACCCTTAAATGCACCGTGTTGCCATTTGGCAACATACAGAAGAATATTTTGTTTTGTAGCCGATTGGCTATATACGATAATTTTGTAATAAAAGCTATTTTCCTAAAGATATAATTTTTTTCTTCGCTTTTTTCCCTTAATACACACTCATTTTTTAAATGAAGTTTGATAAGTAGAAATTGAAAACAAAAAGTCATGCATTTAAGGGTTAAAATAATATCGTGTTCCTACATTGAAATTGTTACAAAAAAAGTAATAAACATTTTCTACATTCTGCAGCTTCTGTATCTTGCAATAAACGCAGACGATTTTTATTTTACATCAAAAATCCGCTTTCTAATTATTACGCTGATCTATTGTATCTTCTTAGTTCGTTAACTAAATTGATTCGGTTGTTGAACCATTGAATTACATTTTGCGAATTCACCCTATGGTTAATACTTCGACTGTCGCGCCACGTTAATTGCTTTGTCGACGTTTCTACGTTTCGCGGATCTTAATCAATGGACCGCGGATCTTCATGCAAAATAAAATGTTTCTACGTCGACTGTGAACGACAGAAGTTAGGCGAGAATGTGTCCCTTCATTTAATGACGTTTTAATACATCGAACGTAAAATGTAGCAGTATTCTTAAACTCTTCCAAGATCATTAATTGATTTGTACGTCGCATCTTTGTTTTTACCATAAATACATAAAATCCGCCGTCTATCTATCAAACTAGGAAGATACAATTAGCTTAGCGTGATAATTAAACTGCGAATTTTCATGCAAAATAATAATTGCCTGCGTCTATTGCAAGCTATAAAAACCACAGAAATGTTTATTACTGCTTTTTTAGCAATTTCAATATGTTGTAAGGAACGCGATATTATTTTTAAGTGCTTTAAACGTGTTTTCTGTTTCCTGATCTACTCGTTTTTGCTCTAAATGCATAAAATCCGACGTCTATCTATCAAACTAGGAAGATACAATTAGCTTAGCGTGATAACTAGACTGCGAATTTTTATGCACAATAAAAATTGCCTGCGTTTATTGCAAGATATAGACATCACAGAAATGTTTATTACCTTTTTATAACAATTTCAATAAGTCGAAAGGAACACGATAATATTTTTAAGTTATTTAAAACTTGTTTCCTGTTTCCTGATCTACTCGTTTTTGCTCTAATTGCATAAAGCCCGCGGTCTAGCAATGATTAATTCTCAAATCTGAGCAAATCATTCCGTCAAACACTCGGACAAACTCCCAGTGAGCTTCCTTGCGTTTAACGTGAACTCGGAGGAACGCGTTCCGTCGTCGAACGCGTTTGAACCGCAGCGTCGGCAGAACATTGCGACGATAACGGACGAAAGACAAAAGGACTACGAACCGGACACTCCTCGCAATACTCTCCCGAGTACCGGATGTTGTCCTTCTCCTGGCAATGGCATTTACCGCAGACGCAGTGACCTCGTCCGCTGCACATCTCCGCCATCTCGGTACCGCGGGGGAAGCATGTGCTGTTCGACTGCCAGCAGTTGCAGGTTTCGCCGCCCCATCCGGCATCGCAATTGCAAGTACCGCATTCGCACTCGCCACGTCCGCCGCAAATCTTAAACACAAGCGCGACGACAGATGGAATAATAGAATCCGCGCGCGGACGCGTGCAATTTATCCGCGCGGCGCGGCGTCCGCTCCGACGCGGACGTCCTGCAGGTTTCCATAAAGGGCAGGATTATACAAGCAACGGATAAACGGCTCCAGGAGAGGCGAGCTTTCCTGCAACCCTGATGGATTAGGTTTGCTCGTTGCGTGGCAGACTCTGCCTCGGAAAGCGGTCGAACTCCGTTAGGTTTCCCGTGCGAGATGAGGTACAATTCTCGTTCGTTTCTTACAGTGGAAATTCAGACGATTTATCCCTTTGGAGTCTATCGTGACGTATGTGTCCCATCTATGCATTTTGTACGCTCATTGGGAGAAATGAATCCCGTTTTTCCGCAATACAGTAATGTCTCTCTAATCGACGCTCAGATTGCCCGCGAAAATGGACAATTTGGGAAGAGGAGATACGATTATTCGAGCCCCTTGCAGCTCGTTTTTATAGTTGTTGACAATCGATAACCATAAAAAACGAGCCGCAAGGCTCGTATCTCCTCTTCCAAAATTGTCCATTTTTGTGGACAATCTGAGCGTCGATTAGAGAGACATTACTGTATACGAATATACCAGTCTTAGAATGCATACCACGCATATATTTGTTTACATGTGTAACGTACGGAGAATCTTCCCACGTATTTTTTATATTCCTTCCTGAAGGCATACGAGAACCTCCGAGGGGTTACGACGACGAACGTTCTGGAATCGGACCACATAGCAACACCCCCATTACCGTTTTTCCACAAAAATCTCAGTATATAAAGGGCTCAAACGCGACCGGAATTTGGGATCGAGTTCAATTCTCTTTCGACCAATCTACGAGGTAACAACCTAGAGTCAGAAGCCCCCGCCGGTGCAGTGCGAAACACTGAGAGCGCGTTAGAGTTCGCGAACATTCACTTACAATTGTTAAAACTTAACGCGTAATAAATTAGTTTTGACCAGTTCTCTTTGGTTTCTAGTTCGATCATTTCCATCTCCTGTTTCGAACCAGTGGTTGGTAAAACCCACCAAGATATACCTTAACCGCTCGAGGTATATCTTTATTTCTTTTTTCTAACAAAGTTACGAGGCACCCCAACACCAATTTCTCCAAACACCTCATCCTAACCCCTTTGAAGGTAGCCACCCGTGTCGAAATAAACTCCGGCCACCCAAACTGCCTGGCCCTCGACTCGTAACACATGTAACCAATGGGACACAGACACTTAACGATTTACGAATCGTTTTATAATCTTGGTGATAAGTCGCTCTTTTAACAATAAAGCAGAATCAATGGAAACAACCACAACCTTAAGATCACGAGAGCAAAAACGTAGTCGATCACCACCTCTCCTTTTTACACCGTGCTATTTGATATCGAGGATCGAAGAAACGTACGCACCAATCCTCCACTGCGGTTGCAGGAGAAGTTGTTGCACTCGCAGTATGTTCCATAGAAAAATTGCTTCGGATCGGGCCGCCGCGTGCAATCGCATACGCCGCACTTGCAAACTCCGTTGCCGCTACAGATATCGGCGGTGTCGTTGTTAGGCTTGCACTTCAACAAGTCGGCTTCGGTATTCATGTCGACGTCGTTTCCCCCGCACTCGCAGGTTGTCCCATGGAAGCCGTCGTCGCAGTCGCAACCGCCGCAGATCAAGGTACCGTTCCCTCCGCAGTCCGCCGAGGCTGGCTCGTACCCCTGCGTTTTCGTTGGTTGCGTCAGAGACTCGGAGAATTTGGACGTAGAAAATTTGTGCGAGAATGACGGATTAGCGAACAGGTAATTTTCTCACCGGATGTCCCGGTTGTGCGCAGGGACAGTCGCACGCGATGGTCAAGTCGATCCTCAGGCTCTCGTTTATGCCCCCGGGCCTTATATACATGGTCTGCTGCCATTCGCTGGCATCCGTTGGGCACTCGACCGCCTGTAACAATGTAGCATTTTTAGAATAGAAATTTTGTATAAATATTTTTGAAAATCATTCAATTCTATAAAGTCACCACTGATTTTTATGAAATTTGAATAGATATTCATTCAAATTATACAATTATCCAAAATTTTATACAAGTATTTTTGAAAATCATACAATTCTATAAAGTCACCACTGATTTTTATAAAATTTAAATAGATATTCATTCAAATTATACAATTATCCAAAATTTTATATAAATATTTTTTAAAATTATTTAATTCTATAAAATTACCCCTAACTTTTATAAAATTAAAATAAATTTTCATTCAAATCATACAATTATCCAAAATTTTATATAAATATTTTTTAAAATTATTTAATTCTATAAAGAAGAGAATTAATAATCATTTTTGCTTGTTCATTGTCGTTTTGGAATGAAACGTCAAACATCGACGAAGGTTTCAGCTAAAAACCATAATTGCAACAAGAATTTATAGATGGAGAATAGGGCAAAATATGGCAAATGACAGAGCAACAAAGTTATTTTAGGGCCCGGAAATGTTCCGAGGAATTCGTTGCATCCATTTCATGCAACAGAAGTTTATTTATTGTTGCAAATATCGTGGACAGATGATTCTTGCCGCTTTTCTCATAAGAGACCATGTTATAAACGGCACGAATCATCTGTTCCAGAAGATATCGATATAGCGACGTTAGTCGCAGTGGTAAAACGCTCAAACTGTTCAACGATTTAGTATTAGCTCTGTCCGCTAGATGGCGAAGCTTATCGATTCTGTTTAAAATGTCGTATCAGCGCCACCGGAGGTAGCGGCAAAACGATGACACTGCTAGAGAAATTACCGGCTGCGGACGTACCGATAACAAGAGACAAACACATCGAATGGAGCCACTGTATATTTCGCAATGTACTTTCACTTTGTCGGTAAGATCGTCCACCGGTTTGAACGTTTCGCCACTGCGCGTAGTGGCGCTATTTGAATATTTTCAGGAACAGATGATTCTTGCCGGATTTCATATTACACTTTACGACAAAAGTGGCATGATTCAAGTGTTCTCGTTATTTTCAATAATAAATAATCTTTCTTTGCATAATATACAGGATGTCCCATAATTATGTTGACGCCCGGAAAGGGGCGATTCTTGAGATCATTTTTAGTAACTTTTTTCTTAGTGAAAATGCAATCCGTGGCTTTGTTTACGAGTTACTAACGAGAGACAGGGACCAGTGAAAGGTTTGCGCGGCTGGCATGAGGCGGTCCAGCCAATGAGCGGTCAAAGCGCAGTTCCACTTATCGGCTCGGCCGCCTCGCGCAAGCTGATCTCGCCTCTCATTGGTCAGCGTTTTTCGTTAATAACTCGAAAACAAAGCCGCGGATTGCATTTTCGCCAAGGAAAAAGTTACTTTAAATGAACTCAGGAATCACCGCCTTCGGCTGTCAACATAATTATGGGACACCTATAAAAACAAAGTGACCCGGACATTTCTGTCTCCTTAGAATATTGTTCAGCCGTTAAACTCCTTTCAGGAAGAAAATTCTGTGACCAACTGAAAATATTACCGATCCCGTCTCGATCAACGTACCTTAAACGCTAGTTCGAACGAAACAATGTTCCCCACTCGCAAACCTCCGCATTCCCGTCGTTCCTGCAGTTCTTTATTTCTGTCCAAGCATCGGGAGAAATACTTGAGGTCGATCATCTTCGGCGCATCGTCCGTAAGCGACACGGACTGCACCAGTTTCTAAAACAAGAATCATCGGTCCTGTAAAATTCAATTCTCAAACACTTGTGATTACAGTAATGTCTCCCTAATTGACGCTCAGATTGTGCAGCAAAATGGACAATTTGGGAAGAGGAGATACGATTATTCGAGCCTTGCAGCTCGTTTTTATAGTTGTTGACAATCGATAACCATAAAAAAACGAGCCGCAAAGCTCGTACAATCGTATCTTCTCTTCCAAAATTGTTCATTTTTGTGGTCAATCTGAGCGTCAATTAGAGAGACATTACTGTACCACAACTTACAAAACAACGCGTCAACAATCGTTTCTACCTCGTATTCGCTGCTGATGATCGTCACCAGATTATTCGAGTTCTTGTGCATGATGTCTATGGAAGAACCAGCGATACGACCGCTGAGAGCCTTGTAAGACTCGTACATGTTGTCGGTGATCGCGAAGATAATGTTGACGTTGTGCTCGCGTGCCATCTTGTTGATCTGTTCGCGATTGCGGGAATTTACGATGATCGAAATCAATGCTGACTTGTCGCAAAATTGATTATTAACCCTTAGCGCTCCGTTGGCTCCGCTATGTTTTTAGCATGATTACACCGAAGATGCTATGTTTTTGTCGACGTTGGCAATTGTTATTTGTAGTGAAAACGTGCTTAGCGTGTGTACCATTACGATTAAAACATTTCTTGCCTATTTTTATACTTGGCAACATAAAATGAATAAAATCAAACGCTTTCACAAGGACGCGTAATCTTTTCCGCTCGAAATAAGACTTCCTTTATCCCAGGCGCTTTGCTCCAAAAATGAGTCGAAGTTGCTGGTAGTGATACTTTTCAGAAAAACGCTGTTCAACTTTATCTTAGAACATCTGAGGAATATTTACTAATTTTTAATTTAATTTAATTATTAATCGAG